ACTAGGGTTGCAGGTTGTCTCAAAGTCACTGTCCAATCACTGATCACCATGTCCGTGGGACATCTAGTGACATACTCATCTCCATACAATCTCTCATATAAGATCATGTATACTTTAGCACTATACAAAGTGAGCATAATAAGTATACTACGCATATCTGGTTTAACCGGATATTCTCCCGTCTAACAAACAGACATCGAAAGTTCGTCCATTTTCGATATATGCGCATGTCGAAATGCCGTCGGAGTACCACAAAACATGCAATAAAAATATATCATCCGCAAATGTAGTGCAGTATCCGGAACTGCTCAGTTTTCAATGTGAAACGGCGCGAATTTTCTAAATATGCAGGGCACTACACTTGCGCGATAGAAAGCGTATCTGACCAGCAGCCAAAGTCCCTCTCCAACAAGTTGGATGACTCCGAAGAAACTCCAGAATTTGCTTTCGCCATCCAGAAATCTCTCGGATGTACAGTACACTACTTATACTAGTATATTTTTTATGATCACTACAGCTTGGAACCCAACAGTATCAGCATCATAGTTGTTAAAATCCACTTTCTGGAAAAATGGATATTACGTTTAACAGTTTATATATAAAAACCAGTTTTTATAGTTTATATAGTTCAAGATTAAACTCTTACTCAGAGTTTGTAAACTCGTCGCCGAGATTGTAGTTGTCTTGATGTACTGTACAGTACCGCCGCGCCTTCGGCGACGAATGCGTCGTCCAAAGAAGCCAACACCCCCTCCACCCGTTGCAGCCAATTCGTCCTCTAGCGAACGCCATGCAGTTGCGTTGGGCTGTCATGTCGCTGCTTTTGCGAACCTCATATTGGCCGTGAGTGGCCCTTAAGCAATGCGTCAGTCTTTGGTGTCAATAATCTGCTTAATGTACTGTATGTCATTATGCTTCATGTAATAAACCAAGCATTATTTCCTCCATCTTCTACTCGTATAAAAAGGCTAATGAAGTTCAAATTGATCATTCTCCTTTTCCTATTATAAGCGAGGATAAATGTATATGCCTACAGACGAAGGAGACGAGTTTTGATGCAAGTGGACTTTGTATTCGATTCTCTGTTCAAAACGTATACGTATGGACTTCAAATTTTGGCCACCAGTTACGATGCTCTTTGGGAACATACCCACTACATTCCATGAGAATAGCGATACGTATTTTTAATATAGAAGTATGTCATAATTTTTTTTTGAAAAAATTACGTCGAAATATAGCATCAAGTGATAGATTTCATATGAAAACTGAAGGCATGGTTGCGGGCTACATAACGAGATGTCGCGTGCGGCGATTGCACTTATTTGGCATGTGTGAAGTGACGGTGGTACCAGTCCCACATACATAGCGACAGACCAACATGCCTACGTTCGTGCAGTCCAAGAATGAGCGGTTTTGGCCAAGGAATAGCCGATATACTATAGTAGTGTGTGTGTGTCGAGGGCATCTCTCAGTGGTGGCACTAGTCCATGAATACGGATAGGTCGAGGTAGAGTAATCCAAAATGCATCTATGATCGCATTGCCGAAATCATGTGAGCTTCACGCTTAATGCAAAGTAACTTACAGAGCAAGCTGTTGGATTATTTGTGCGGTCTACATGCAACTATTTTTGACCGGAAATTATACCACGTTCAAATCGTCCAAATTGATGCACGTAGACTGGAACACGTGCAACTACACCACTTAATTATAACCACATGCACGTACGCCAAAAACCTCGTGCAAACATTCTACGCCCGACCTCAAACATGCCAAAATACTGAAATATAGCTTACTTTGGGTGTGATTATACCCGCAATAAGTATCGTAACACCGTCCATGCCGCTTTATTACGTAGTATAATGCTGCTGTACATGCTACCATGTTCTTGCGTTGATCGGTGATCTCTGAGTCACGAAGCAGCACATTAAAGGCGCATTTTGGCGAAAACTTCAAACATAGCGTGAAAGATGACAAGCAATTATTGTCATCTTGAGCTATAATTTATAGCATACATTGATATGTTATGTTATAATTTTCTAACATTTACACTGTAAATGTCATATTTTTAAAAGTTATGCAACCGTTTTGTGTGGAGCCAAGCAACTCAGCGCAATCGATTGAGGACGATGCCAATCCTTCAAAATGGCAATTAAAAGCAGTGCACGTTGCTTTCTTCCTCAGGCTGAACTCAATTTGATTCTAGCGTGATGATGAACTACAGTATGTATGCACTGCCATTTCGTTTGAGGATCGTAAAGTTTATCATTTCCCGCAGCCTCCTGTAAAGAACTTACTGTTAATTGCAGCGAAGCATGTAGACATCCTGGCTCATGTCGGCTTCAATGACAACTTTACTTAACCTTTAATCCACTTATTTTTGAACTTTAGGTTGTTAGTTTAAACCAGGCATTTAATCCAATACTTTAATCTTAACGTAACAACTATGATCAGCATGAAGCTGACCGTGCGGGGTCGCCTCAAGAGACAGCGCGTGTCCAAGGCCGACACCCCCACAGCGCCATGAACTTGGTCAAGTGGAAGGAGAACTGCAGCGTCGGCGTCCAGCTGCACGAGTGCCGCCTCACCAAGCACGCGTGACCCATGGCCATGCTCGTGTGTCTGGATCCGTGCTGCGACACGTGCTCATCGGCGACCTCCTCGTGGAAATCAACGGCCGAGACACGGTCATGATGAGCGTCAAGTAGACCGTCCGTTGGTGAAAACGTGTTCCAAGACCGCTTTGCTCGAGTTTAAACTGGGCCCGGGCATCTCCGTGCCCAAGGTCAGTGCCCAGTTAGTAACGTTATCGGTTTTACCTTGATTTGGGACGATACTAGTACACGTCAAACAGCATTATACTGTACATTGTACTATTCATACGTAGTACGTACGTACTTGTTTTGAGCTTGTTTTGTAAGTACCACCTACAAAATTGCGCGGCGCTCCAACGCTTGGTAAAGCTACTTGAATTCGTGTACTTCGAAGTACAACACAAGAAGTGAGTGGCTAAGTTAAGGCGAGTACTAGTATGTCCGAAGCACGTTTATCCTAACAATCCGCCAGAGGCGCATGAGAACTCTGTTTCCGATGATGAACCAGTGTAACGTTGACGTTACATGAATTAGGATTCCTATCTTGTCATCCAATCTTGAACCACTACAACTCTGATCCATGTCAGCATTCTGTTGGGTCGCACCGCCCACTGGCATGAATGGTCAGGCCGGGGTTGTCGCATTTAGCACGGTTAAAGTGGCAGGGGTTGCCGTAGGTGACGCCATCCGAGCCGCACTGGGGGTTGTGCTCGCGGGTACATGAACCGTAAACACGAGCGCATTCTTCCGTCTTCACCTGCGGTGGGTCGCATCGCCCACTGGCATGAATGGTCAGGCCGGGGTTGTCGCATTTAGCACGGTTAAAGTGGCAGGGGTTGCCGTAGGTGACGCCATCCGAGCCGCACTGGGGGTTGTGCTCGCGGGTACATGAACCGTAAACACGAGCGCATTCTTCCGTCTTCACCTGCGTTGGGTCGCATTGCCCACGGGCACGAAGGGTCAGGTCGTGTTTGTCGCATTGAGAAAATTTAAACGCGCAGGGGTTGAAGTAGGTGACGCCATCCGAGCCGCACACGGGGTCGAGCTCGCGGGTGCATGTACGAAGACCAGCGCATTCATCCTTCGTCGGGCGCTGGCCTGACGCAGTCATCAAGAAGGCAAGGGCGAGGGTAAGGCGAGCAAGCATGGCTGTTGTATAGGCCTGGGGACACGGGGTAGATCACAAAGGTAGAGCTCAGTTCGAGGTTGAATCAGGAATGAAAGCCAAGGTTACATCAATCCAAACCTTTCATATCCTTGCCCAACACACACAACCACGCAAAACATAAGCTATCATGACCTGGGGTGCAAGCCTTGGTCTTGATTTGCCGTAAGCCTTGGTCATCATGTCGCATGGGTCTGCCTCAATGTTCCTATGTACATACAGTACTACCATACATTCCATCTATGGTTGGATTGTGGCGCTATTCCCTCGAAATCAACGCAAAGGTGTTGCTAACGTTACGTAATCATTTTGGCCATCACCCTTGGTGAGTACACGGTGTACAAGAACTACGTAGTACTCCGAGTAGTAGTACTAGACCTTCGTATGGATAATAATCCGTACACATGTACCGGTATGTAGTGAAGCAACAACGGGGTTTCCAGTGTGTGTTTCGTGAGAACAATGGAAGACTGTTTGGCTATACTAGTAAAAAGATTACAGTGGTTTCAGTCGTCGTCTTATTCAACGACTAAACAACCAAAAATGCTTCACTTTCCAGTATCATTCATATACATACTTTGTACTTCAAGTAAATTATTTTGTCGCGAGTCAATAACAGAATCATTTGGAATTGACAGATGTTCTAGTAACTCTCCAACGAATTCAGGATTGTGTGATTGAGTGCACACTCATAGAGCCCATTAAATGACGGCCTACGACGACCTAACCCCTTTGCACCCATTTTGGGCTGTTTTCATTGGCTATGATTCATTTTTCTCAGATTTTGAGAGCTTTACAAACTCCAAGTTAAGGTACTTGGTCGGCGGCACGGCCTACGGCCTACCTGCCGCTTTTCCCGACGAGAGGAAAAGATAGGAAGTCCCCGTAGGGCACGATGGCGTCGCGCCACAGCGCTCGCTTTGGTGCGAGTCGCTCTACACTCTATCTACGCTACGCTGCGTATAAGTCTATCTACGCTACGCTAAAATCTGGGGATGAACTGGTGACCTTTCGGACCCCATGTTCAAACCACTAGACCACGGGGGCTGGTTCTTTTGGAATTATTGCTGTTAAGCTTAGCGTATACAAAAAGAATTTGAGCACAATGAATTATATCCAATGAGCAGCGACCACACCCATTACTACAGGGTTAGGTCGTCGGTTTTAGAGCATTACAGAAATTACTTAATGTGACATCCCTCAGTTACGCCTTACAGCGTGGGACAAGCCGGATTGCTACGTACTAGTAGTAAAGTTAAGATATTCCCAAGTGGGATAAACTGGGACAATGGATTCATTTCGATTCAATTTTGGATACACAACACACAGTCCACAAGGGTTTTGCAAATTGGCAATCGTTTGCTATCGCAAACGATTGTTAATGCGCAAACCCCGGGCATAGCATTACACGTACGTTATCCGGGGTGGAGACGTAGTCTCCGTGGGGGAAAGGGTACGGTTCTGGTGAAAGAATGCTGGGGCTGGTGACCATGATGACGTCAACAATTATTGTTTGGGATGCACGGATAAGTATCATTAAAATGATACTTACTCCGAAGTGCAATCATCGAATTTAGCATTGGCATTTAGTAACCATATGTTTTGATTTGCTCGGAAATTCACCAATGACTAACACATGCTCTTGCGCGTATTAACAAGTAAGTGCTCGGAAAGTGTCTCTCTGGACTATTTTGCTCGAAATCGATCCATTCTAAAGCTGCTCGGAAATGCTCCATCGTTTGCTCGAAAAAAATGCGCACCCATCAAATGGATCATGTTGTAGACATGATTGATGATCCTACCGTTGAGTCCGGTCGCGAACCAAGAAACTTGTACGCCGTGGACGTGCTCACGGCAATGCGTTGGTCGGTTTCCGCCTGGAATTGCGTCACATCAACGACCATTCGCAACTGCTGGGCCCATACGGGAGTTCTGCCTCGGAACTTTGGCCATTCCCTTCAGCTTTTGCTTAATTGACCAGCAGATGGTCACCCTTCAAAGTTAATGTTTGTGGTTTCTTTGTAGAATAGGCTGACTTGGAAAATTTATATTTGGAAAAGCGAGCAAACGTTGAGGGATCACTGTATTATAAATTTCAACATATTAATAGTATAACTATTAACAGGCAGGCCAGCGGAGAATGTACAAATTTTGGTCATACTATGATTTTCAAACTTCGTCCGCAGAGCTCAGTAAGCCACAGAGATTTCGGAACGCGTCCTTGACTATTCGGCCATGTTCACATGCCATTTGCACGCTTTCGGAGGCCGGAACAACCGCGAAAACTTGCATGGCGCATGGGCCCTCGATGGATTAAACGGCCGACCCTGCGCGTGTCATTGGACACATTTTGGTTCTTTCTTCCAATGGAATGCCAGTAATAATGTCAGAAACGTTTTTGCATACTTGTAGAACTCAAAATGGATTAGTCAGATATTCTTAGATAATCAATTATCCTATATATTGTTAATAACCACTCTGGCCTTTTCCGGTCGAAAGGCTGTTCCCATAGTAGCTCAAATCTGACTTTAATCAGAGTATTGATAAAACTACTGTACTCGGACATCACATCTGCACTTTGTTCCGATTACTCTCCAATCCAGGAAGTAAATCCCCATTGTCCCAAGCTCGTTGGGATAGAACAGCGAGGTTAAATCATCGAGAAACAGCTCCAACCGAGTTGAATGACATGCTCCCACAAGATCAAGATAGGGCGATGCTTCACTTGCCGCCATTATCCCGTTGTTGACTGCGAGGACGCATGCAAATGCGCTTTAAATCATTTGGTATTGGACATTCACAAAGAGCTTCGTCAACAACCAAAGCAAACCACACGTTTTGGAGGTAATTCTACGTGTCTTAATCTGAATGCCTTTCAGTTCATTCGCGTCAACCAAAAGGTCAATCTACGATGCTCGTCAACACATGTGGTACTTCCCAGTGGTTTGGGACATTCTAAAGAACGTACAACTATGTTACAGTGGTAGAGTCTAAGTTCGCTGAAGTGGCTGCTCTCATGTAATTGGATGAAACAAAAGTAGTTCTTTTTATTTCTCCAACAAACGTTCTGTAGTACCATCGCATGATGGCGAAGCATTGGCTCACACGGAAGAATCTCTAGCTCGCACAGATCTTCGTACTTCTACTTGAAAGCATTTACGCGTGTTCATGAAGGTGTATTCTGCGAATCCCGAGAAGGGGGTGGCATCTTCTAGACGGTGGAAATAGTTCCATGTCGATCCTCCATTTTCGTACCGTGAAAAGTGATTATAGTTCCCGTGGCCTTTCTGTTAATATGTTGAAATTTATAATAATAGTATAACTATTAATATGTTGAAAGTACTATTGTCGATTTGCTGGGAATTTCCGGAGAGGTTCAAAGCCCTACTTTCATAAACCACGGGGCGGCATTTGATTGGTTAGTCTGTGAGTTTGGCATTTTCGCATTTGCGCGCCATTTCCAAATTCTGGCGGTCAAGAGTTGCACCGCAATATTTTCAATCACCTAAGTCGAAATACGTAGGAATCGTACTAGTATGAAGAAAATGAACTAATAGAAGGAATAATCTCCCTACATCTTCGATTTTGTCAGACCAAATGTGGTCATCCAGATTCTTTATCTTGGTTTCACTATCGAATTCGGCGGAAATCAACCGGACGCATTTTTACAGGCTCTTTGATGAACACGTAGGAAGGATTTTCCTACGATGTGGATAGCCAATCAAATACATGAAAAACAGGAAAAAGGCGGCCAATATGACGCAGTTGATGGGAGGCTCCCATTCATTAACTTGAGTACCCGCAGCGATTTCACCATCGAAGGAGCGCGAAACAGTCGCGTCTCGGATACTTGTCCGGCATTAAGCAGGTAGTCAACTGGGCTGTCATGGCAGGGAAGCCAGAGCTCCTGATGCCAAGCACCGAGCATGAGGGCCGCATGACCTTAGATCTGCGTGTGTTTGCGTATGATAACTTTTTGGAGTTCATTGTCTGGACCAGAGGTTGGGAAAGAGTTATTTTTATTGGAATATATTCATTTAAAAGTATAAAAAAAATTATTCTGAAATCCTTTCAAAAGAATAAATAATTCGTTTGCACTTCGAGAGAGAATAAGTACATGACCTGGTCCTCTACAAAAAAATAAGTATTGAGTTTTGGAGAATTATTCTAACCTCCATTCAATTCAAAGTCCTGTAAACAAAGGGCAATCATTTCCGTGCAAATCGAATGCAACCACAGCCATTAACTTCACACATAGTTACAATCAAACCAAGGAAACACAATTCATTTTGATGACCAACGACAACAACCAGCCATCGCCCCTTCGTGGAAAACAACTCGCCGAGCTGTACTTTACACGTACCTCACCTGAATCGACGCTTTGGCTCTGTAAATGTGGGAAGCGCCGCACACAAAACGGCACTGGGTACACGAATTTGACGTCGCACATTGAGCGCGAACACCCCGAGTACCTGACCTATGACGCTACAGCCCCGATTTCGCAGCAGAATCTGTTCATGCCCCTGTTCTCGCGCAATGTGCGGAACGTGTACGGCTGGCTGACCTGGATTACGTCATCGCTGTTGCCCTTTAACTTTTGTGAAAACGAGATGGCTCGCCGCTACTCGAACATTGGTCCCATCAGCAACAAGACGCTGATGAAATGGATGCACCAAATGTGTCGTTGGTTGGAAGCGAAACTAAAGAAGACCCTGCCCGAGTCGTTTGCGTGTGTATTTGATGCCTGGACATGTGGGTCGACGCATTACGTGGCGGTCTTTGCGTCGTTCCCAAGTGATTCGTTGCGTGGATACGAGAAGGTGTTGCTCGCATTGTCGCCGATGAACGACGAGGATTCATTGAGTGCTGCAGCCTTCCTGGATTTTTTTGACTTTGTCCTCGATGTGTACGGCAAACAGCGCCGAAATGTGGTGGCCCTGATCGGCAACAATTGCGCCACGAACCGTGCCTTTACTCGCTTGGCTGGCATTCCTATGGTGTGTTGTGCGTCTCATCGGTTCAACTTGTTCGTTGGTGATGTGCTAGCCGACTATGAGGACCTGCTGTGTGCTGTACATGCCATCATGAAGAAGCTGTCTAACATCATTCCTGCTGCCAAGCTTCGCCGGATGACACCATTGTGTCCCAAGCAGCGCAACAAGACACGATGGAGCTCATCCGTTGCCATGTTGGCTCGATATGTCGAGTTGAAACCGTTCCTTCCCCAACTCGGGATAGACGACATCGACATGCTACTGCTTAACAGCCGGCAAGATCGTGATGTGGATCTGTTGATTGCCCAGCTCACCGACTTGAACTCAGTGACGCTTGCGCTCCAGGACGAGTCGTTGACACTTGCCGATGTCCGCATGCTGTTTGATGAAGTCGTTGTCCAGTACTCTGGCGCTGAGGTTCGCCTGGGGCCGGATGCAAGTGTCGTGGAAGACCCCACCTTTGAGTCTGGTGTGGTGAAGGTGCTTCAGCACATGTAGGCGTCACTTAATGAGGACGAGCGTATGGCGATTGCTCTGTTGTCTATGCCGAGTATGGCTGATGGTGGGTATGTGGGTGACACGGACAGCATGAGCATGGCGGCCCGTGAGTTTAAGCGTCGCAAGTTGCTGCAGGCCCGGAGCAACTACCTCGACTGCCGTTTTGCTTCGACCGACGTCGAACATGTGCGAGCGGCTGTTTTCTGTGACGAAATGGGCGATGACCGACCGCCGTCGCAGTGTGCTGCCAGCAAACTTTGAAGAGCAATTGTTCCTCCACTGCAATTCTTTCCTTTGGGGAAGCGAGGACGTCAAGAGCGTCATGGAGGGTGAAACCGATGAGTAGGGTGTAGCCAAATTTGATGTAGTGTTGATTTTTGCATATAAATCAATAAATATGCCTGTTCTTGGAGAGTCCAAAACTGGTCTCCAAATCGCGTGAGGCGTTCTGTGGGCCGAGAAACAGCGATGTCATCATTTTGCAAAGAAATCTTGAAACTCGTGACTGGAAAATTTAAAACAATGTTATTTGTAATTTTGTATGGAAATGCTCGAAAAACAATCTTTTTATACCCAATCACAGAGAAGAAATAGTTATTGAGCCAATCATCGCATGGCAAAAAAAGCATATGATTCTCTACAAACGTATACTTTCTAGGGTTTGGGTTTTCTGAGTATTTTGGCGACTTCATTGGATGAAAACTAGGTGCATTGATTCGCATTGATTCTCGGGGGTTTTGAAGAATTATTCAATAAATTATTCACCACACTAATCTCACCGAGTTATTCACCGCAGGTATAGAAAGAATAAGTAATTCTCTTCGTGGGTTGAAAAAAATAAGTTTCATTATTCATTTTCGACAGGAATAAGTAATAAATAGTATTTTCCCAACCTCTGGTCTGGACTGTTCAGGAGCGAGATATTGGCCTGGGTGCCCTAAGCGGCTATCGGGTATTGCTCTCCCTAGCTGTCGCAACGGTGGTACAACAAGTACGACCTGGTGCTTCTCCATCCCCAACACCGACTAACGACGTCGATCCGAACAGCTCTGTGTTTTTATGGGGTGGCATGTTGCACATGCTTCCGGAAGTTCGTGTGTCGATTTGGCTACTGCATGGAGTGTTTGGTGGCGTGGCAACCCTGCACAAAAGATCATACCGTTACGAAAATAACTACTCGTGATTTGTCCCTGACGTCCGAATCCCAAGAGCATTACGAATGGAAATTCATTATGGATCGAATGTCTAAGTTCTACATGGCCAAGCAAGGCTCACCTCCATGCCCTTCGGCCAGTGCGCTGGAGCTGGCAGCATCTTTTCCCGTCGACAATGGTCTCTTGGACCCTATTCGAACAACCACGTCAAAAAACGTTCTCGACGGGACGGACAACTACATGTGTCGATGGCCGCCAGACTTGTCCGGCAAGTGGAGCCGACCGCAGACCCTCGGCCCTACCGCAAACGGAAACCAGCGAGCTGCAGAGACCTAGTGAGAGCGTTTAAACAGTGATGTTAGAACATGGTGTGAGTTAGATGTGTTGTTCGTACCTTGTGGGAAGATGGGACCGCACTCGGAGTCTTCCAGAATCGGCAGACACATACTCATAAACAGATTCATGAGAGTCAGAAAGATCACATAGGCACAGATGGGTACATTACCTGAGTACAACACACATAGATTGCTTGTGCATAGTACAGAGCCCGACAGGGTCAGACACGCTGTGCCGCCGTGGTCTTGTCAATGTCAGCGTAGAAATTTGAATGGCACGTGTGGTCTGGTTTCACGAACAAAACATTTTCATTGGACAAAACACATTCCGCCGAAATTGGATCCTACGAATTCCAATCACAATACACAAAATCGTTGAAGCAAAGTATACGAAAAGAATTTGTCACCTCTCCTTGGTAAAAAATCTCATAGTGGCACAATTTCAACCATATGTCCACTCACGCCAATATATATTCGAGGGCAACTCTTGCGAGTTACTCCCTCCGTCGCACAATAATGGCTCGACTTTGGGGAGGGTGTAGATGTCTCGTCATTATATTTGTAAGGAAAATTCAAATGTGTCTGCATCCCGCCCCAGAGCGGATTAAATAGTTCTGATTGAACTACGAGAAAGAGCGCGCCGATAGCTTTAACATGATGTACCTGGACTGCGAGAAATCGTACCATAACTTAGGCAATTTTAAAGCTCAAAATTTCCATACATAAATCCATACAAAAACATCATTATTATACATACATGTACATTGGAACTTGTACATGTACATTCATTCACATGTCACTCAAAATGGGAACTGGAAAAGCGGGACCTGACCAACGACGAGCGCGAAGCCATCCTTCGTGAAACGCTGCTTTAGAGCAACGGCACCTACTGCACAAGATTACCCAAGGGTTTTGGCGAGTACCTGACCAACAAGTACAGATGACAAGGGATTTTCAGGGACACTTGGCCCTTCGAATTTGGCATGAAATCAAAATATGATTGGCTAGTAATCTTCGAAATTCGAAAGTAATTGTAGCCAATCACACAGCAGAAGCTTCATTTTCACAGTTTTGAACATGGAGTATTTTATATTGATTGTTTAATGATTCAATTTATACAATAACTTTTGGCGCTGTAGCGCAGTGGTTAGAGTCTTGGATTGCGAAGCATGAAGTCCGGGTTCAAGTCCCCGCTCGATCGTACTTTTTACAATTTTAAACACATATCTATATACAAAATCACATACAATCCGAAAACGCTCTGTAGATGTCGATGAGAAAGCCCACGTTTAAGTGGATCATGGCTATACACTTGAGCAGACTTTTGATCAGACGCTGTTGCAGATACGACTGTACACGCAGGCGTTTCTGCAGCAGCGCCTTAACATGTCTGATGAATGAATGACTTGTTTTGAAAGTCACGTTGGGTGTGATTCCGCTTAAATCACTCCTTGTCGACCAGAAAGAAACATCTCATGCGTCTCCCACTACCGCACAATACTCTATTATAAAGTCAATGGCGTGGTGTTCGTGCTGCATTGGCAGTTGAAGAAAATATGCATCAGACAGATTGGCCAACAACATCGCCCTGTGTACCTCACCTTTGAGCCAACGCCGTGCGCCTCCTAGCTGAATCGCGTCATTCTATCGACTCGGGATGTAGCTGGGTACGCTCCCTGATTTTCCAGCAGCGGCAACCCGAGTCAACATAAGCATGACCTAACCTGCACCGTCTGCAGGTCGATCCCTTGATCAAAGTCAGAGGTACCTTGTGCCCACATGGCCTCTCTTCTCATAGACTTGGAAACCCGCCATCGCCAAAGGGAGGCAGAAGTTGTCACCACCGGTCTAACAGCCTTGGCAATTGTGAAATTACACGTGTCGACGAATGTCGTCAACCTGACATTTAAAATGATTTCACCCCAATCAATACTGTAGCCATTCAGTGAGTAGTTCTCTCATAAAATTATTTGATTGGAAAATATAAATCATTTGTTGACAAAACTTCGGTGTCCCATAAAATCCCTCGTCGTCTGTACTCCTGTCACGAGTAGGAGTATTTGGTGCGTGCAATATACTTACGAACAATCTAGGAATCAGTCGTGGATCACTCCATCGATACTTCAAACTGGGGATGTTTTGTGCGCATTCTAATGCGATTTGCCCTCTTTTGACGGAGGTGAACAAGGTTTCCTGTGAGACATTTATGTACCTCCAAAAATGAATCATTTTCTTTGGCAGTGAAAAGTTTTTTTTTTTCGAGGAGGTATACATTAAAATTCTGATTCGAACCATTATTGTGGGACGGAGGGAGTACTACTCTGGAAGAAATTTTAAGGAAAAGTCCACTGTCCGAGTGGAAAATAATATAAGGAAGTGGATGTAATTACTACTTAGTACTTGGATTTTGTATGTGATGACATAGTGCCCACCTATCAATATTAGTAACACCATCGAACGGAAGGTGAACTGTAAATTTAGTATGGGATAAAGTATGAAGCATCAATCCATGCTGAAGTCCTACTTTCAAAGTGGGTGATAATCAGATATTTTAATATGGGCTGAAGTATGGCATATTCAATCCATCCTAACTCTTTGCCTTCTGTTTTTAATGACGAATGGATAGTCGCGCTGGATTCTCGTGGTATGATTGGTGTATCGATATCGAATCCATCCAGGTTGGACAATTTATGAGAAAACTACACCATTGTATTGAGTCTTCCTTATATTTTCTTCGAGCGTAGTATTTCCCAGTACAATGTATACTACACTACTTGTTGTACCAAAAGTAGAAAAAGAGGTCCTTCTTAACGGCTTTTTCTAAATCGTGAATAAAAAATAGGTAAATCGATTTTGATTGGCTCATGCTATTTTTAAAAACTACTTGGAACTTCCCCTAATTACCGTTAACGTTATGGCAAAAGATGTGATCAAAGCTACTCCAGTAGGCTAGAAACGTGGGCTATGTTGTCTGCATTCACTGTCAAACCGATAAGCGACTTTTGCGTCAGTGGTTTTGAGAATTCAGCTAATCAAGTTCATTTCGTCGACTTTTGAAACAACCGTTCTGGACGACCTCCATGAGATCGTTTGCCATTACTGGCCATTACTTGGACCAACCACAACAATTCTGGTGGGATTGTTTGCTCACAAGTCAAGGTGATTGACATGCAAGTTGACGGGGTAAGCCACGAACCAAGGCCATGTTTGAGCGCATGAAACGCACTTATAGCTGGTGTCAAAGGAATTGTTTAGCGTACCAAGTCACCCTTCCCCAGGCATTGGGTGAAAATGCGTCGGATCGACTCACGCTTAGGGTAGACACGCACGCGGCCACGTCCATCGATAGGTTCTCGCCGCGGCAGTGTGGACTCCATGGCCACCTGCGACAATCGTGCTCTGGACAATTCTCATACCAACAGCATACCGATGGGATTATAGGCTGCTACTATCGGGTCGTACAATTCAAGAATCCTCTATGCAAGAGTCTCCCCCATGTTTTCGCAAACGCTGCCGGTTGCTACGTAGTACATTAGTCCGTAGTATAGAGTAGGTTTATCTATTGATAGTCGATTTGACTTGGGTTGTCATGCAGGGGTAGCAATAAGTGATACAGTACTCTGAGTAGTGTGTAGAGTGATCGGAACATCCGCTCTCTGGTATGTGGTGTCGGGAGATGGTCATGGACGGCATGGTCTTATCTCAGTGCACTAATTATCGGCAAGCGTCGCACGCCCAGGCCGTATTCAGACGATCATCCTCTTGATCTTGCCCACGACTTCGTTCTTGAAATGAGTTTCGCCGTCGGTAACCCATGTCGACACAGTGCCATGTGTCGCAAACCAATCCATCAAGGCGTTTGCCGTGCTTTTCGCGTCGGCCGTTGCCGAAGGGACCAGACGAAAACCCACTCATGTCGTCCTGGATGACCAGAACGTAATTCCAGCCATTCGCGGCTGGCGGTAGTTGGAGCCAGTCGAAGTGGATGAACTCATTTGGGCGCTCCGTATGCAGGGCAGCACCCTAGGGCTTGGTACCATCATGCCGTGTTGGCACTCAGGCAGTGTATGTAACTGCCCAAAAAGGTTTTCAGGTCTTCCTTCGCGGTTCGCCACTCAAACCGCTTAACTGTAAATACGCCTTGGGTTGTCACGTCCACTCCGCGGTGACCGGCTACGCCTTGGTGGGCTATGATGCAAATTCGCTGCTGCAGATCCACAGCGGACTCGGGGATCCAAATCTTCCCAGCGACGGTCACGTAATACCCGTCGCTGACGCTTCATGTCACATTGGGGACGTCTTCGACGGCAGCTTTCCAGGCTGCCTTCTTTATTCCCAGTATTTTCGCCGGCGTCAGCCAGGCGAAATCCTTGTCTTGTAGGGGCGAGACAACAACCAGTTCAACCAGTTGTCGCACTCTCGCCACTGCCGCAGGTAATGGAGCGGCATCCCATCGCCTAAGCAGGCCCAACCGCACGTTCGCTCCCCCCGCCACACTCTCGATGATGTAGGAGAAGGTCGTCATCGTCATCACCATAGTCCACCGTTTTAGATTGTTGGCTTGGTACTGAGCCATGTTGCTGTTGTAACTCAGCGTGTTAAAGATGTACAGCAAACTGCGGTGGTCGGTGAACAGTCTGAATCCCTGCTGCCGGAGCTGCAGGTACTCCAGTCGTTTGCACGATTCGACGATCGCAAACGCTTCCTTTCCCACCGTTGGCTACCGGGCACTTGCCCCGCCAAACCCACCACTCAAGAAACACCAACGGCTCGTGCCGTTGTTGATCCACGGGCAGCTCTAGGTCTTCGGGTGGGATCTGGGTGCAGGCGGCACCCCAATGCGTATCGCTGGCATCGGTGTAAAGGCAGATGACCATGTCTGCGGATGGATGCGACAGCGGTACCATTTTCCGCGACATGTCATTGATCGCAGCAAAACACGCATCGTGTGCGGACGCCGACCCAACAGCAGCCGACTTGATTCGCGCCAGCGCCATCTTCTTCGGCCCACCAGCGGCCTTCGCCGCCAGGTCCAACACGCCCCGCAGCGGATCAATCATCTCCGAGTAGCTGGGGATGGAGCTGCGCATCCAATTAGTCGCGCAGACAAATTGTTGCAGATCGGCACCAGACGTTGGCGTCTCCAATGCACACAGGCCCTCAACTCGATCAGGGGAATGGGAGATCCCTTCGGCGGAAATGACTTTCCCGCACCACATGGCTTTCAAGAAGAAAAAGCACTTCTTCGGATGCAGCTTGAGGAGGACCTTTCTGCAGATGGAAAGCAGCACCTTGACCAACAACACAAACAGACTGTCTGAGTTGTCGGCGCACCCCAACAGATCGTCCAACGAACCCAGCACCCCGGCGTAAAACAGTTCGACGAACATTTGGTTCACCACGGACTGGTAATAGGCCACGGCATCCGTCTGTCCCATGAGAATTCTGGTTGGCGTGTAAGCACCGAACGGTGTCATGAACGAGCACCACATCTGGCAGGATGGGTGCAGTGGCAACTGGCTGCATTCAACGGCTCGACATCTACCGGCAAGTCTTGTCCAAATTCTAGGCGAAAGAGATCGGCATGATCATTCAAAATACGCCACAGTTCGACTTCTTGCGCAGGGGAGAGGCCAAGCTGGATGGCCTCGACAATCGAGAATGCGCCTGATCTCGCCGTCTTGGTTGGCGGGCTTCTCCATTGTTGGAGTGGAACACGCCACGTCCTCGGCGTACAATGCGTCTTCAGGGTTCGCCGACGTCTGGCTGGCATCTCCCGCTTCGGCCATAGACTCGACGCTGCTTCAAAGCGTCGACAAGCATGCCGTCGACTGAAAACCCCAGTCGCTCCATAACGGGACGTCCAATGCAAACGTCGATCTCCAACCCACGCTCCAAGTCCATGCAAGACCAATGGGCGATTGACGTCTCCAACGTCACCGTCTTGAACCGCACTTGCCGTGTCACATGGACAGGCTTGGTTGTCTCTCCGTACGGCTTCTTGGCTTTGCCTCAACGTTGCACCAAGGCGGCGCTCCAGCGCAACGAGGAGGCCTTCTGACACCAAAGTCTCGTCGGACCCAGAGTCAAGCAACGCTTGAGGAAGTGTGATAACGTTCTCGATCGACGCTTGACACTCCATGCTGTTCGCAGGCGTTGTGCTTGACAAGAAGTTCACCGACCGATGGCACGCCTGATGGAAGTCGTCCATCAACGTTACCTCGGCATCTGTAATGCTGGGATGTTCCCGCACTCCGTGTGCCGTCGACTGATATTTCAGGCACTTGGGCATCGGTCGCTCCGGTGGCTCATCTCTTTTATCGGCATGCCAAGTAGGAGGCGCGACAGACGCGCCACTGGGCCACCTTTCTTCACGGACCGGGCTGAAACGTGGTCGAGGCCGCGAGTTTTTCCTTCGGCGGCTTCGAAGGTTTTTCTTCGTCCATGCCACCATATAGCTGGTACCCAATCGAGGATTGCAGCAGCCGCTTGACGTTAACAAAACACGTCTAACTTGAGCATTTTGTTCCGCTGGAGTGGTGCTGGCTTGATCGCGTTGGTGTGATTCCCACCATCAACTTCGCTTCCTGATGGAGCACCCACTCTTGGCTGTACGCCTCGAGGATTTTCATCAAGTTGTCGAGCATTCGACTTACTCGAATGTCGGCGTCGAGGATCTTGGTGTCGAACTGTACGGCTACTTGAAGGCACTTCATTAGCGCGGCCAACTCAGCGGGTGCTTCATCGTGGGCCTCCATAAACCAGGTCACCCACTTGACTTCTGTTACATCGCCATGTGACTTCCCAAAGTCAAACATAGCGATGTGTCGCTTTGCACGCGCCGACTGGCATCAAAAACGGACGTTGACCCGTTTGATTGCAGTGCCATGATCTGCGACGTGTATCGCTGGTTTTCGGACTTCGTTAATCCCTTGAATGACGGTGCTTTTGGCAACTCCGGCGGGTTGAGTTCCTTCACGGCATCTTCGACCCCCATGTCAAAATTTTCAGCTGCTTGCGCAGCAGCAGGTTCCTCCGATGTTGCGCATCTTGGGCCATTTCTTTGCGGTCCCAACCCGATCCGATCAATGGCCTGAGGTTGGGTTCTTTGAGGAGTGCCAAAAGGCCCACGGAGATGTCCGCAACCTTCACGCCCTCATGGCGCCTGCCGCACTGGGTCATCTTCGCGCTCCGGCGAACGAGACTTGCGGCTTGACGGCTTAGCTTCCGTATCACTCATTGTATAGTCGATACGATGCTCTATTTGTTCCGCGCCCCGCACTGTCGGTCGTTCCGTCGACTAGCACAGCAACAACAACCATGGTTACACTTACTACGCAAACTGAGTGGTATAAAAAATTTTAAAAAATCAGACGGCTCTCGCCCTCCCATCGAGGTGCGGTTTGCCTTCGGTCATTTCCAATGGACGCGGCAGAACAATCAACGATAGTGCATGCATTGTAGCATTCGCAAGGAAGACGACCCTGGGCAATATAATTGGTAGATTATTATCCAATGGTATCATTAGTGAATTCAGACTTAAAAACCGTTGGCACAAAAATCGCTCCGAACACGCCCTAAACACCTTAGGTCGACTGTTTTGAAGTTCAATATCGGCCATTTTGGAGGGGATGTTCATCTTGGTCGACAGAACTTCAGCTCAATAACATATGCGTACATATTTTCGACAGAACAGTATAACAGTGACTTCGCCCATCCTATGTAATCAAACCATACTACCGTAGATATAATGTATGGTGGTATTCAGTACATAGGAACATTAATAGTGAGTTTTTGGACACCCACTTTTGAGATGCATTTTGAGGTGTGAATCTCCAACTCAAATGCGAAGTTGTGAAATTAGGAGGTGGGTGCGGATACCCAAACGATTCGCGTTTACCTCTGTTTTAATGAGTGAGACGTACGCCCATAAGCAGTAAGTAGTCTACAATTTGGAGATTTTTATTAAACTAAGGAGTATTTTGGGCTATCTCAACTCACTATCAAAAGAGCTAAACGTGCGTCTGGTAACACTTGGAGGATAAAATGGAATTTCGGGGGAGCGAATATCTCAATCAGTAATTATTGAACAACGACAATCACTCATTATTGAATAACGACGAAAACTCCATTTTGTGTGAAAATATTGGTACTTTTTGCCAGACACATCATTCAGCTTTTCTTTCAGAACAATTCGAAATGGCAACATTGTTCGGAATGAAGGACAACCATGCCACCTGAACGCTCGCCTGTGATTTGTTTCTTGTCACCCAGCTACAAGCCCAAGCTGACTCAGGCAAACGAGCAGACAGCGGGTTCAAAAAGGAGGTTGGCGAGCCGTTGCTAATGCGTTCAACCTCGAGTATGGCGTCACGTACTTGCTAGCACAACTGACGTCTCCTTTGGACTGCGTAATGATCCTGCTACTGGACCAAGCATAATTCTAATGTATGCATTGTAGCTCAAGCGAGATTACAAGGACGTCAAGGAACCCGAAATAACTCATAGTCCAACACCAATATTTACAGTTAATACGAGTAATAAAAATGGACCTTGGATACTCCAACTTGCGATTGAACTGGCGCTTCTTAAGCAGTTTCTCGACAATGTACATTTCTTCGCCGGTGGATTCATCTAGAACAACAGGAGTAGCTTTCGGGATAGGCCTGGAAGCAAACTTGGCTTCATTGGGCTGGTATTGCTTAAGTCGATCGACGTTGAACACGTCATGCACACGCATAGTTGTTACGTTAAGATTAAAGTATTGGATTAAACGCCTGGTTTAAACTAAAAACCTAAAGTTCAAAAATAAATGGATTAAAGGTTAAACAAAGTTGGTATTGAAGCCGACATGAGCCAAATTATCGACTCACATTTTCACACAAATATTATCAACGTATTAACCAGACTATGTCAAAAACATTACTGGAGTAATACATTCGACAATTTGCTTCGACCACGAGTGTAGCGATGAACTTCCAGCAAGACGTACTAGCTGACAATGCCCCCTGTATGGCGGGCTATGTGGACTTGCTAGGCCCTCCAACCTCGGGCGCAAGCGATGAGAAGAAGGACAATCTTCCTGCCCCCCCTCCACCGTCAACGCCCCCCTCCCCACACGATGATCTTCCTGTCCCCCCCTCCACCGACGACGCCCCCCTCCCCCACGCGATGATTTTATTGCCCTCCCTTCGTTCTCAACCCCACAACCCCCTTCCCCCACAAGGCGGGCGCAAGCTGATTGGACGGCCCCATTCCGACATATGGGCCTGGTTTACGGACGCCAGCTCCCCCCAACGAACCAACTCGGCGATGTGTAAACATTGCGGCAACAACATGTTCTACTACAAGAAATCCAAGCAAGTGTCACACCATTTGAACAACTGCGAGAAGTTTCGGCCGACAATGATGGCGCTGGACCCACACGAAAGACCAACTTGGTTCGCAGTCAGTACCAAGCGACAGAAGCAAGCCAAGGCGCTGTCAAGTATGAAGGCCCCAACTGGTATCTCCTTTGGCCATCCTTCTTCTGCGCCTGTCAAGACCTTGCAAGAGTGCATGCGACGTTATGCTCTGCCCAAGCTATCTCAAGTGGACCTCGAAGCGATCAAGAAAGACGTCGCAATGCACTTTTACATCACGGACACTTCGTTCCATCGTGTGGCCAGTTTCACCTGAGGAGGGCGTTCCAGCGGGCTGGACATTGTGCTTCCAAACCGTCAAGCGTTGGCCAACAAGTACCTCGACATCTGCTACCATGAAGTCAAGCAAGAAACAGATCGTCGATAGGGCGCGCCGGATACCCAGGTGTGCCTGACAACGGATGGATTGTCAGATGTCAACATGGAGCCAGTAGTTAACTACATGACAGCAAGTACACTGAAGCTCAAGCGCACACGGCGGAGTGGATGGCCAAATACCTTGAAGACACTATGGCAGCCTACCAGCAAATGTATGTGGCGCGTGTACAGACAACACAGCTGCAAACAAGGGCGCTTGGAAAATCCTTGAAGCGAAGTTCCCAACCAAGCTCTTCCCCGGGTGTGTGTGCCACGCTTTAAATCTGTTAGTTAAGGACATATTTGGTCTGGGAAAGACCAAGTTGGGGGCAATGACGTGCCACGTTATCCGAATGGATATCCATTCGAGCACCTTGTCAACTTCGTGGACAGCTGTAAACACGTAGTTCGGTTCATCCGCAACAATGGGCGGTTGAAGTCAGCGCTGTCAAGTCTCCAAAAGGCCAACCATCTCGGTCGCCTAGTGATGCCTGCACCAACCCGGTGGTGCACAATGCAGCAGTGCTTAGTTTCGCTCCACGAGTCAGAGTCATTGCTCCATGACTTGGTCAGTGCCCGGGATTTCATTACCGGCTCCGCATCAACGGCTGCGGCGGATGGCTATCAAAGAGACAGTAACGGCTGTTGAATTTGTCTCAAAGCTGGAGCACTGCATTTCTATCTTGTCACCCATCGACAAATGGATCAAGATCTTTCAAAGTGACCGCGTACCGGTGTCAGAAGTGTTCGATGCATTTGTCCACCAGCTGCCACACGCAATCGGCGACATCTGAAGTCTGAACCTCCATGAGTCGAAATACATTGTGGCCGCCATCAAGACTCGCTGGGATTTTGTGTACGACGACGCGCACGGGGTGGGCTACCTGCTGGACCCGCGGTTTGTGGGCGGCGGTATTGACAGCATGGAATTCAAGGAAGATGTAGTTGATTTCGTAGTTACCTATGCACCATCAGACACCCCGCCCTCGACGAACAGCCGTAGAGATGCTTTGTCGCATGATCTGAAGGAGTTTCGGGGTTTCGGGGTTTCGTAGTGCAAGCGTGGCCACTCCTACGCGAACGAGCACTTCGCGTTCTCAACCTTGTGGCATCCAGTGCTGCTTCCGAACGTAACTTCTCCATGCACGGCTTCATCCAGTCCAAGAAGCGAAATAGACTAAGCCCCAGTACCGTGACAAAACGGATGTACATCACGACGAAAGACAATCTGGACGACGAAGTTGGAGGTAAAGACTACTCATCGGACGAGTATACAAACTCTGAGTAAGAGTTTAATCTTGAAATAAAAACTATATAAACTGTTAAACCTAAAATCCATTTTTCCAAAAAGTGGAATTTAACAACTATGTGCACACATGACGTCGAGCGAGGTAACTTAAGGCGCATGGCTTTGTCATTAATGGCTTGGACAATCTCAAAGGGACCGATGAATCATGAAACCAGCTTGGGACACTCGGAGTTGTCGAGCATCAGGGCATGCTTTAGAGGCAGGTAGCGAGTCGCTAACAGTACTTGATTGCCTTCCTTGAAGGTCACGTTCGAGCGGCGCTTGTTATACAATACTCCTTCTGACGTTGTTGGACCTTCGTCAAAGTCTCGTGAGCCATCCGAATGACTTCCTTTCGATGTTCCGCAAAATTCTTGGCAAAATCATTCTGGGGCAAGGAGTCGCTCACGGCAGGTTGCGCAATTTGCGGCCTGTGTCAACTTCGAACGGCGTCAAGCCGGTTGATGCTTGGACCAATCCTTGGTGGGCAAACTCGATCGTTGGCAAATGGTGGACCCAGTCTTGCCCTAGATACGACCCTTGACATCTGAGCGCATCTTCGAGAGTTCGATTCTGGCGCTCAGTCGCTCCATCGGCTTGAGCTCTGCCGGCAGTAGTCATGGCTTGGTGGATACCCATAATCTCCACGAGGAACTTCCAAAACGTGCTTGAAAACTTGGGGTCACGGTCGCTGATGATCATTGCTGGTAGTCAATGGTGGCGAACAACATGTTCGAAGAATTCCTTCGCCTTTTGGGGTGCATCCACATCTGATCTCGTCGGGATGTACTTTGGCCGCTTGGAGAGCTTGTCTACCACGACCAAAATAGCATCATAGCCTTTTGACACGAGTAAACCGGTGATCCAATCCGCTGAAACAGTTTGCCAACACTCTTCCGACGCGGGAATGGGAATCATCTTGCCATTTGCACGCAGACTGCTCGTCTTGTATAGACTGCATGTTTCGCAAGTCGCGATATATAACTTCACGTCTTCGGCAAGAGTGTTCCAGTAATACCACTTGCGCTACACTTAACATTGTACGTCAAGTTCCAGGCTGCGCGGCAGTGCTTGAATCGTGCGCGTGGGATAAAATCTCTGCGCGCAGCACGTCATCGTTGGGGACACATAGCTTCCAAACTTGCTCTTGACTTCACAGAAAGCAGAGTCCTTCCTTCCACTTGAAGGCTTCACCTTTCATCGACTTTGTCCCTGAGTCCTTTGCGTATGCCTTCACAAAATGTGCCTTGGCTTTGGTGTCCAACTCGATGTTGGTGTCCAACTCGATGGTGCTAAAAGACACTTGCTTCCAGTGGTTCACCGTTAGGCGTTGAGGCCCTAGCACTCCTTTTTTCTCCCCCAACTCCTCCCCCCAAAAAGGAGAGTCGACAATGACGGCGATGTCACGAGTCGTGTAGGTGGAGAGAGCCGATGCATGGACAAGAAGTCGATTGATGCGCGCCGCGACTGAGGCACAGTGGATACCACACGCGTGGATTGAGCTGGTGAACGGTGGAGTGGCCTGTGGAGGCCGAGACAAGGCATCAGCTACCACATTCAACTTGCCCGGGCGATGATGGAGGGCAAAGACGAAACAACTGGAAAAATCAAGCCAACGCGTCAACTTGGGCGTTAGGACCGGCGTTGTCATGAACCACTTGCAGCAGGAGTTGTCGGTGTATACATCGAACCGATTGCCATGCAGGTAATGGCACCACTTGCCCAGAGCCAACTTAATGGGAAATGACTGCACCACAGCAGAAACCAGAGGCGTCGGTGGTAACCACAAAAGGCTCGTTGTAGTCAGGCAATTGCAAAACAGGGGCTTGCTGTAACGCGAAAATGATTGTCAAAAACGCTCGACACTCGTCCTCGTTCCAGTGCCACTTGGCTCTTTTCTTGAGCAATCCACTAAGGGGACGGACGAGCTCCGCGAAGTCGGGGATGACCTTGCGGTAGTAACTGGCAAGACCGACAAAACTCATGACGTCTTTGCTCGACTGAGGCTCCGGCCACTTTTCGATAGCACGGACTTTGGACTGGACCACGTGGAGGCCATCTTTCGAAATGGTGTGACCGAAAAAGTTGACAGAGTCGACACCAAACGAGCACTTGGAAGGACGAGCGTATAGCTTCTTGGTGCGAAGGACAGTTCAAATTGAACGCAAATGATTAGCGCGGTCTTCGAGCGTCCGCGAGAACACACAATTGACAGAGTCGACACCAAACGAGCACTTGGAAGGACGAGCGTATAGCTTCTCGGGGCGAAGGACAGTTCAAATTGAACGCAAATGATCAGCGCGCTCTTCGAGCGTCCGCGAGAACACACAAATGTCGTCTATGTACACCACGACAAAGTCGAACTTGTCAAACAATCGACGCATAAGGCGAGACCAAATGCCTGGCATGCCTGCCATACCCATTGGGGCCACTACCTATTCATAAACATCGCGATGGGTCCTGAAGGCGGTGTACTTCCGCGCTGATGGCATCACGAGCATTTGGTGGTAGCCAGGTGCCAAGTCGATCTTCGTAAAAACTCGGCATCCGTGCATGCGGTCAAACAGGTCTTAAATGTTGGGCAGCGGGATCTTTGGCACGATGGACTGAGGGTTGAACATGGCGGTAATCCAACACGCATCGCATAGGGGTGTCGGGCATGGCGGTACGAAGCCACTCACGACGCGAAAGCATCTGACCATCATCCGTTACCACTGCCGCGTGGGATTGAGTTTGATTCGACAATGAAGCCTGACACGAGACCCCAGCACCGACCCCCGTTCCGTTTGTCCAAGGTGGAATCAGGTTCTTTGGACACTTTCGTCGACGATCTGTTGCAAAAGGGCTGGATCGAGCTCTCGAACAGCGACTGGGTATCCAATATCTTGGGTCTTCCCAAGCGTGGTGAGTAGAGCTAAATTTTTGAGTGGTAATTGTGAAACACCCCTTTGATAGGACTACCCCGCTACCACCGGTAGGTTTTATAGGGGTCTCAATAAATCCAAATATATATCTGACCAGTAGATGATCTGAGTTCCATCTCACAATATGCATAACGTTATTACCATTTTATTGAACTCCAAGCCAAATATTTTCCCCATAACCCAGAACTTCGATTGTACCGTTACTTCAGGATGCAGTACGGATGTTTTGGGGATTATCCGGGTGATTCTGTCCCCATTTGCCTCCGATATCCCAATAATTTGCACTTTTTGGGATGTCCGAGACGAATGGGGACAAAATCACCCGGATAAGTCCCCAAATTCTGCGTAGTATCCGTAGCTAAGAGTTACAACTGTAGTAATGATTTTTAGGGATGGCGAGTTGGGATGCGGTGGAGGTGCTCTTGGTTGCTTACGTTATCGATTAATTGAGTTTGGATTATCATTTTTAAGACATTCCTCCGGGGCCGACACTAGAACCACATGTTATGGAACTGCTTCGCCAATTGGAACGCGCCTGCTCGACCAGCGGTGCTGTGTAATCTTCGGTTTTTACTTCGCTCAACGCTTCATACCTCGTGCTTCGACCGATCTTCTTCGAAGTTCGGTCCTCGTCTTCGTATGCGGCCCTTGTTATCCGGATCCCCCAGGGGAGGGACGGATAAATCCTTGCGGAAATAATCCGGGGAAGCCGAGGATCGAACCCACGACCTTTGAGTTAAGAAACCGATGCTCTACCACCTGAGCTATTCCCCCCCCCCAGGTGTCGCACTGTACATTGGGGTGTATTTGACTTTTAACCCTACAGTTCTATCAACCTTGTGATTCTACTGCTGTACAGTATTTGTTCCTAAATACCAATAAATAGTGTGGTATCACCTGAGCGGTAACCGCCGAAGTAGCGGATTGACCGAAAAGTGCAGGGGATATTTTGACCAGAAACCGTGGTAACTG